AACCACAGACAATAAATAAATGGTCTACAACTTGTCATTTTTCCCATAAATACTTCCAGGTAGACTAAGCTGCATACTGATTGCCAAGAATTTACGTTCAGACATTTGTTGCTCAAACACACAATGTTCTGGAAGTTCTTAACATTTAAGACTTGAAAACCACTGCATACAATAGTGATCAGTATTGGTGCTTTTTCGTCCGTATGCAAAGCCTTAAGTCATACGGATGTCAATATACTTTCGAATTTGCATAGTGTTCGTTCGTCTTTCAATTAAGTGACAAGCCCTTCACGCAAAAAACGACAGTCATCTGTAGCAGGAAGTTAGTAAAAACACAGCTCACTTTATTCACGGAATCATAAGGCACCTTTCGACCAGAAATTAATTAAAGTGAAGCTACTGCATTTGTTATACAAAGGAACCAAATGTGACTTGATTACAGTTTTTGAATTAAATCAAAACAAATTTTTAGCCGTTGCACCTTAATTTTTTCTTATCTCCCAAAGCAGATAGTTTATAAGGAAACTCCAAAAATACTCACTAGCCCAGAGCAAAGTACTTTTCAGCCGACAATCGACTTTTTAAACAAATCATAATTGTCAACGTGTGGAATACCTAAATTTAGCAAGTGGTCGTAGCTCCGTCTATTGATGAATTCAAATAAACGTTATGTTGATTTACAGAACACAATCTCCAGAACTAACACACGCCACCAAACATCCTGTTCTTACAAGTACAAATGAAGCGATCACTGTTGAACATTGAACAAGTAAACACACACTTTTGAATCATGACTACAGGATGACAATTGACAATGTCCATAACCCAGGTGAAGTTAAGGTCTCCGGTGTCGGAGAAACAACCTCAGAACCTGACTGCTGCAAAGTAGAGGTTTTAGTGTGCTCCAAAAAACCTACATGCAATTTAGCTGAAGAGAGTGCAAGAAAAAGAGCTGAATACGCTCGACAAGTAATTTATAACCGACATCTCAAAGTAATTATATTATTCATTGTTTTGTTGTATCCACATTTAGAAGTTTAATGTTGTTGAGCACTTTGATACGGTCACAGAAGATAATGGTGTGAACGCTGTGTACAAGTTTGAGATAACGACATGTGACATTTCTGGAATAAAAAGCCTTTTAGGATATCTTAAGTCCAAGTTACCAACATATATAAGACTGGGAACCGTGGAGTGCTTCTATTCTAAAAAGCGGATGTTTGAACTACGGTAATTGAACGTTTATTATTTATAATACTACATTTGAGCCTCAATCCCAATGTGGTTTAAGCTATGTGGTAAAGGTTTCCCACACTCAATCAGAAAACCCATTATAGGTTCTTGATCTTTAGTATGACAATCAATATTTCGTTATCACTCTTAGAACAAACCAAACGTATGCATGTAGAACAGCTCTGTTATACAGTTGTCTATCCTTCTGTAGGCACCTAACAAGTGATCATAAAACTATTCGGCTTAGTCTGACTTGATACACTAACTTTTCGTAACTGAGCTTGTACGCAAGCATCATTTTAAGGAGAAATTTTAATAGACATAGGAAGCATAACATGTATGATATGGACAAATTAACAGGGAAACTTCTGAAGAGCTTTTGATATTTGACAAGTTTTGTTCTATCACATCACGTTTATTTAAGTTCCAGTTGAAATTTTATGACGGTATTGTTTATTCTGTATGCTATTCAAATAACAATTTATTTCTTCAGTCAAATTATAAGCCAGACATACCAAAATGACTTCTGATAAAAAATTAATTGTCTTAAACACCATCTTGAATGAGATCGCTTCTTCTTGGGCTCTTTTAGAATGAGTCTGTAAAGCTTCATGAAAACAGATAAACAGAGCCATCTTCCAATCATGATTTACAAAAAATATTTTTGTGACGTACTTTATCTTGAATCTGCACTAGCTGCTGGTCGGTGTAGATGTTTGAATTTGAAGAAACAGACATTCAAGTAGTTCTGAGTTGTGACTTTACACACAATCAAAGCACTAGCTTTGTGGTTGTTTACTTCAAAAATCTTATAACAATTCTTGGAGTGAATTCTGAGTTTGATTTTAAGAATCCAGGAGTTTCTTCAAGAAAACACTTAGTAACTACGTCTTTATTGTATAAATATTTTCAGCGTTATAATCTTTAAATCATATTGATCTTATCGTAAACCAAGTTAGCCACCTTGAGATTTCGACGCACTTGATCTTTAACGTTTAAAAGCCTATTGTCAGTTTTATCGTAAATACATACCAAAAGCAGTGATTCGAGTTTCTAAGTTCAACTATGAAGCTGAAATTTAGTTAGTTGTTAACATCATGGATTTTTAAGTCTTACTTTCAGACATTGTAAAGTATAGTTCATTCCTTTTGAATTGAAACTAATGGCAATGACATCTTCAGTACCACTCATTTGCTTCAATTCTTTCTCATAAATGTCTCCAACAACTGAATGCGGTATCAAAGTACTTGGTCCAATATCACGCCAGAAATAATTATATTTATCAGTATAAAATTGTGGAGATTGAGTTTCATTGAAATCGTGAACCGATCAATTCTGCACCACCACTTGATTTTTTTATCAGTCATTTGAGGTTTTTCAATTTCCACTGAAAATCGGATACACTGAGTTAGGTTTTCAGAAACGGTTTGCATCATGGACTAAAACCATGCATAGAATGTCTAACAACAACGGAGCACTGAAAACTCATTTTGTCATTGTATCTCGGCGTATTCATATAGCGCAACTATGATCCTATGAACTACTAAACCACAGCCTTTCAGTTTTAAAGGTGAGGATGACACTATTTGTCCACTGATTCGGGAGCCAATGATCCATGTCTTTGCTAACACGTCAGTTGTATAATGTTTTGGGGAAACAACTGTCCCAACCAAAACTCGGGTAAGTCCATAGGTCTCATCTTTTCTTTAGAGCTATGGTAAATCTGTCCCACGTCTAGTCATTAGTGTGTCCAGGATTATTCATATAAGTGGCTTATTGGATGATTTCTTATGTTTTAATTAATACACACAAAAATCAAATACTTAGTAATCTGGTTACAGTTCTCTTGCAACCTTTTATCAGTCAGTATTATTTATTACCTAAAATCAGGATTTATGTTACTAAATTAAGAAAAGGCTATTTAGCAATTTGTATGTGAATCTGTTCTTGTTGTAAAAGTTTCATAATAAAGTTTTACCATATTTTGAAATAACTTTTAGCAAAAAAGCTGTTGAACAAGCCGTTTCAGATGCTAAACATAAAGCTGAATTAATAGCATCGGCATTTGGACAAAGAATTCAGGGTTTGATCAATGTTATTGAGGATGAATGTGATTTTACTGATGAGCAGCTGCAAATAACTACACCAAGGTCAAATAACTTCAATGATTACTGTCAACTGAACGATAAAAACAATATCAATAGTGGCGTCGGTCAATCGTATGAGCGGCCGTTTGACTGGAATAAGCCATTACGCAATGCTCAAAGACATATACGGATAAAATTACATGTTATCTGTGCTTTAAGCAATTTTAATAACTAAAAAAAGATTCACAAGCCTAGTGTTTCTTAAGCAAAAACTCATATATTATTTGCTTTAACGAACTACTCTTTAGGATATTATGAGAATAGATAATCATCACCCGAGTATCAAATAATTTTCAAAGTCCATTCCATATTTGATAGTTTATGACAAATGATTAATTAACGACTCTAACTAGCTTTCATGTTGCTTGTTATTTAAAGTAACTTTTTTTAAGGAATCTTCGACATTTATGTACACACTGGTCATTTTTATGACCATAGGGTACTGGAAATTCCGATTAAAATATAAATAAATAAATTCTTTCTAGTTCCTTTTAGTTACTTATTTCTTTTTGTAGTTACTTTTCACTGAAGATTGGTGTAAAGTAAAGGACCATTGAAAACGTTGGAGAATTTTCAGCAACATCGAAATAATATGAACAAATTTCGAATAATGAGTTATTATTTTAGCTAATAGAGTAATATTTTGACAAAAAAGTTCAGTATCATCAAGAAATCAGCGAGCATCCAACTATAAGCTGATTCAAATTTTCGGACTAAATAACAGAAAGGTTGTTAAGTATCTTTCATGCATCCTCCAACTGGTGATGGTTCAAGAATATTTTAAAAATGAAGTGATTTTACCATTCGCTTCAAGGAATGTTATATATGGAATTTGATTTTTATAAAAATCAACGAATGTAGAACATATATACAGAACAAATGTATTGTGTTCTTGTTCTCAATGATACAATGTACTGTTAAAATAACAAATGAATCATTAAATGTAGATGGTCATTAATTACCATTCCTAAGGGGCATACTGAATGATATAAATATAACTCCAGATCTTCTGAATTTGTTCACTATTTATTTAGGATTTCATATTCCCATTTTACATTTCCTTCAACTAACTGTCATTTTTTAACACTAAGGACTAAAATAAGTAGAATTATCGTCTTTCTAGACTGTTTTGAATTTAATTTATAAGTTTACATCCGAACTTCAATCGATCAATACATATTCCAACCCCAGATTAAGGAGTTTTACCTAATGATCGAATGACGAACAAAGATGTAAACAGACTGAAAAACCGTATGAACTTTCTATCAAGTGACTGACAAAGTTACAACTACTTTTATGAAATTGACATGCTTAAGAAATTAGAAAAAGGTAATATGTTAACAACTCCAGGATATCGGAGGTTGAGATCAGTCTTAACAGACAAAACTGAACACCGAAATATCAATTTGTGTTAGTAAAAAAGTTATTTACTGCTCGGCTATTCAAACTGAGAAGGATAGAGCGTGGAGCCTAACTAGTAAAGGTCAAATATTTAAACGACAAAGATAGTTTCTAATAAGCTGTCTTAATAAAATATGCGTTACTTGCACGCATTCAAACAAGTCATTAAGGAATTTGGTACTCTCGCAATAATACGATATAATCAATTAAGTAACACCTGAAAAGTCAACGTTTCAAATTAGAAACAGAAGTATTTTTAAATTTTTTTAATTTTATTTATTTGACGAGGAATAGTAGTAGTGTAGTTGTGAGTACAAAAGATGGGTGTTGGGTGTAGTTGCTGTTTTCCTTGATATGAATTATATACAAAATACATAGAGATTATTTGCGGACTGGAAACAACAAGATTTGTCATTATCTAATGCATACAAATAAAATAAGACATTCACTCAAGGTGCATCCAGATCAACATACGAACGTCTTGGATAACCACGTCTAAAAGAAGATTGTGAGATTTACTTTGATAATAACAATAGTTTTGAATATATATATATATATATAATATATATATATATATATATATTTCTATTCGCTAAAAACAAGTTTTATGATCTTTGAGTAAATACTTCACAAACATAAACTAGGATTTAATTTGATTATCTGATCTCATATTTTGATTTGTTCAATAACACCAAGCTTAGTAACTAAACTACTGTGGAATCTTGGTCCAGTGTTTTAAATGGTAGATCTCAACAGTGAGAAAGTAGCAGTTTAAAACTTCGTTCTACTCATTTATATTGAAGCAACTGTATGATAGACACTTAAACTTCACAAAGAAAGATTGGTGATATAATGTCAAGCGCAGCAATCTGTAATTCATTGTTGGGTTTTAGCAATATTGTGTGGTCCATCGGTTGGTAATTATGCTCCACCAAGTGTGTTTTTAAGTAGGGAAAAAAACTATCCTAGTTTACACTCTGGTCGATGGACCACACACATTTTGTTCAGTAGACGGCTATCGGCTTCACAAATCTTAAGTAAATGTCAACATCCAATAATTAATATAAAATTTGCATTTGGTTCAACTTAAATAATGCTTAGGGTTAGTTCTCGTCACAAACTGCCACCACTTGTTGGAGCATTGAAATCCAAGTGGGAAGAGGCAACTGCCTTATACATGTGCTAGACTCAGCAGCGGATAGCCACGACAATAAACTTAGAGCTGAATTGAAGGCCTTGTAGTGAGCACGATATCACTCTCAAAGAGGCGCTGGGTTGATGTTCAATGGTATAATCGACAAATCTAACTAATTAACTTCTACGCAAATTAATAGCTCACTACATAATTTACAACAGAATGTACACTTTTCTCAGTACACACCAATTACAGCATAGTAACACTTGCTAAAACCTAAACCAACCGTCAAAAAAAAACTTTACTAACCGATTAAAGTTATATCCACCAGTTCGTGGACCATTATAATAATTACGTTGATTGCCACCACTATATGGAATTCGGAAATTCGAATACTGTTGACGACCATATGGTCGGGGGTAGAATGGTAAGTTACTGTGTATATTATCCCGTCCATAGTTTCCTCCCAGATTTCCACCTTCATTGCGATTGCGTCCATACTGCTGCCATCTTTGTGACTGGAAGTTATTTGATCCTTGTGCCCAAGAATTAGAACGTTCTCGTTCACTGGTTTCATTAGCTAGATGACTTGATTCTCTAGCAGTTCCACGAGATGGTGAGGGTGACCGAGATCGCCTTCTAGGAGATCTTGGCTCAGGAGGCAACTGGGGTCGGGCAGGATCCAGAAGATAGTTGTTGAAAAAGTAGGCCTGAAGGATAACAGGGAAATTATCATGGTTTACCCATATCGTGTGATAAGTTATCAAGTAAACGGACCGAGTCAATGATTAACTTGGAAAATGGACGACTGATAAAAAAACACGAGTTACCGGTACATAGAAGAAAGAGAATAATGAACAAGAGACTTTCAATAGAAAAACGGAAAATCAACATGAAGCCATCAATACTAAAAAAGTAAGATAATGTGAAACTACTGGCTTTTATGCAGCTACAAAAGTGATTATATAACCACCTCATAAGTGAGACTTGCCTAAGTAGAAATAAACACAAAGTGTTAGAAACCGAAGTCAAGTCACTGTAGACGTATATAAATGCTATGTAATAGCCTATTATATCTAAGTAAAAAGAATGTCTCCAATGTATAGCATTTCAAATGTACTAGTCTAATATCTAAGTTTACATCGGTTCGAATAGGTTAAATATACCTCAGTTACCAAGGGCAAGTTTTTATACTCGGCATTGATTTAAACTGCTCTATTCCTACTGGTAATAAATGCCCTGTCGCTTAAATCGAAGTAGGTAAAACGTGAATTGAACCAGAGACCTAATGGTTGAATGCTAAATATTTTAAACAGTAAGCCACCGCTCTACAAAACTTACATTAGAACAATTTAAAGGGGAAATCTTAACTGTATGGAAATACCAAATATGGCGCAATTATTAATAAACACGAATAGATTATATGCACGAAAAAAGTGTAAAACGAATTGTGCAAGTTTGACAGGAACTTACATTATCTTTCTTAGCAGCTTCAACCTTTTCCATATGTTTATTGAGAATATGTTTCTTAACGTAGATTGGATCTCGAAACTTCTTATTTGACAATGGGCAAACCCATATCACATCGCTTAAATAATATAAAAATTATATAGATAAATATTACAGTAACTGACCTACAAAACTCTGACACACACTGGGTGAAAAGAACTAGTTATCATCATAGATTTTTTTCGAGGTGCAGATTTCTGTATTTGGCTTCGAGCTACACTTGGTGTGATATTACTTGGTGGCTCAAGCTATATTAGGCGGGACAATGTTTGGTTCTGCGACTTAGTGGTTGAAAGTCAAACATCTAAACCACTAAGTTATTGCTCCACCATGATTATAGACCATAAGTTTCAATTACTTAAGTAGTTTACTAAAGATTTTGTAGTTTGAAAATTGTTTTTGTCATGAACTGGCATCAGTTGGAATAACCTCGTGGAGAATATCTTAATTTTCATTTGTAAAGAACAAGCGTGTTGTCATTGATAATTAGCTTTTAAATATATATGCACATATGCATAACCGATCCAAGAACTAATACCTGTCTAGTTTTCATGGATATTTTGTTCCAGATAACAAGGCTAATCATTGATAAAACTTTGAAAGCCCAATTTTAATCTGTTAAAGAATAAATATTCTTTGTTATTTGTCGCAAATTTTTACTATATATGTACTGACCATAATGATGATGAAGTATGGCAAGAATTAAGATTGATAGTTAAACTTTGATTATAATCGAGAGTGATAGACCCATACTTACTATATCTTCTAATCGTTTACTTATTAAATGACCTCTTGTCATGTTTATTTTTGAGTTCAATAGATGTAACATTTAGTTAGGAAGGAAAACCTATTCTATTGGGTATTTATCTTGTTTTCTGAATGCAGTCCAATTAGAGGAATAAGCAAATAATTCGATCTCGTGAGCATTTATCACTCGGTCACATCGCACCACATTATATAACATCTGCCCATTAGCATACTTTAGCTTCTTTTAACAATCGAATATTCAGCCCATCAAATAATAAAAAACCTACTTCATAGTAAATAATTAATAATAACAATACATATTTGTATAAGCTTTACACATACGCCTTTCGTTTTTTCCGACGTGTATTCAATTTTATGAATTCTTCCACAACATCATCTGCATTTCTATAACCCAAACCTTTACAATCATTTTCTGTGAGCGGAGTAATGAGTCGTACTAAACGTTTTATTTGACTGGCAAATAACTAGGTTGTGTAAGAGAAATAACATTTTGGAAAATTTGAAAATTAATTTTAGCAAAGAATAAAATATCCACATACATTTGTAAGCATAACCACCAGAAATAAAGTCAAAAAATCAAGGATTTTTAGCGTCTAGTCAGTACAAGGAAAAATAAAATCAAACTTGAGAAACAATGCTATACAATGAGTTCTGTTCGTAAGTATATGAATGCCTAGTATACTGATAGACAGACAGACATCAACATAGAGCCTGGCACAGAAGTACGTTGAGCCAATTCGCCATATTAAACTAGCAGGATGAGACGTAAATAACGAGATCTAAATAATGTGGTAACAATGATGAAAAGAAAGACTAAACCTTTGGAATATGATTTGAAAAGACAGAATAAAAACGTGAATATGTAGAAATACCGGAGTTCAAGTTCGAGAGAACAAAAAGTGAATGCATCTGTGCCATTGCGAATGATTCGGAGTTACATCACTCGTCTTCAATCATTGTGATTACATTTATCACACGTAGGCCAACTAAGTAGTCTGCATCTACCTATATGGTTTAGGTTAACGGTCAATAACTTTGTGGACAGAGGCTGCGTTTTAGTTTGTCCCTTTAGCTTTATTCCAGCCTACTTCTACACCGAGTAACATCGTTTGTTGAGGTCGGCAGCCGTTGGGGAGAGCGACATATGCCTTAACCATTTTATATGATGATTTACAGTCTTATCAACCGATTTCCTACGTTTACCAAGTACAATATGCCCAACTTCAACATTCCTCACTTGGTTGTTCCATGAAACGCAAGAAATGCTTCGAAGAAAGTTTACATAAAAAACTGGACGTTGATAATTACACATAAATCTTTAAATTTCCTCAACGTTCGGGATTACGAAAAAAATACTCGACTCCATTTATAATGAGCGAAAGTTTATAAATTCAAGAGTAGCTTTGATGCAACCATTGGTGAAGTTTTTGCTTTGTCCTTCTGGAAAATTAGTCATGCGGTTGCGCGTTTATACACTCTACTATGACACAAATACTTACGAAACTTACATATAGATTATATAACAACAAAATTACGAGGATGTAAGAGAATGTTAAGAATCTTTTTGAAACTAGGGGTGACAATCGGGTTACGAAAAAAACCAAATGGTTTAAAAATTTGACTAAAGCAAATGTTTCATGACTCTTGAATAAAGAAATTGCTATATTCATTCTCAAGAGCTTACGAAACCATAAATAAGGTACCAAGCTATTAGTATTCGTTTTTAAAATATTGGCTTTGCGAAACTAAGTAGATAGTAAGATACGTATGAAAACTAACTCGCAGATAAGTTTTTTCCGGGTTGTAGATACATAACCATAACGTTCCAACTTATCACCAGATGCTTGGGCATTGTCATGTATTATTAGTAAATGTTTATTATATTTTTTGACATCAGGAATTCGGTTATTAGATCTGAGAACCAACTTATTCCATATTGTTAATATGTTATATCGAAATTTAAAAACTGTAAAATAACTTAAAAATGATAACGTTCTCATGTAAGTCAGGTTGCTTTCATTACAAGCAGATACCAATCAGAAACTTTATGAAAATCAACGTTAATAACCCCTCATGTATTTGAATCTGATTAGGATATGAATATTAACACTATCACTGGGGAAAAACTAAATATACTGTACAGAGACACATATAGAACTGTATGATGTACAACAAACTGACTACAATTAAAATTGCTAAACAGTGGAAAATAAGATGATGATTATTAGTTTGATGATGCCCCCAAACGCCCTGGTGGGGAGAGTTCGCTCCCCCTCTCAAAATGCTCTCATATCATCACGCGTATATAGCCTTTGCCACGGAAGTCCTACTCATTGCCTTCTTGTGGTATTACTGTTGTTTACGAAATTGAGAGGATGAAAAGCGAATGTCCGGCACTTTAACCGGGTTGGTGGACATGGAGAGTCCACCTAGAGAGTTGGAAAACCTTGATTCCAAACCAATGGTGCACGTGGGCTCCAGTATCCTAAGGCAACAAATGGCGTATGAACCAATCGTTGGTCACCGGCTATCATGGGACCGCATCTCCTAATGTTGCTCCACTGCCTTGTGGATCAGACCTCTAGGTCGAAGGGTCAGGGTGTGGCCTCCTAAGAAAACCACCTGCTTCGGTTTGGGCACCCGGGCAGTATCACAGCCCTCACACAAGTCAAATGAGATTTGTGTGGCGCACATATATTTGGTGTCTCCTTGTACCAATATCTATGTGTTCAAATAAATAAGTTTTACGATACCATCAAGGATCAGGTGGTCCAACATTCAACTCGATCATTAAACGAGTGGTTATCGCTGTTTATATCTATGTGTACAGTTGAGACGCTTCTACAAAAAGTGCAAAACAACTATTAATAATTTCCTCTATATCTATGACCATTATACAAAAACATTTTGTCAATTTAACATGAATAAGTAAAATGTAATACAATAAAATATTTACATGATCAACTGATTCTGAATTGATTAATTTTTCTGGACTTTTAATTTGTGTTAAAGCTTTAGTTATTTCATTTAAACCAGGTCGAATATGTATAAGACGACATGGATGTGGCATTAAATCTTCATTCATATAAAATGCAGGTGCATAAAAATCTACTGAATGTACTATTCTTAAATATAAAATTAAACGATCCAATACAACTAATAATTCACTATCATCTGATTCATAGAATCGAGAAGATATATCAAGTTTTTGTAATTGTAATGTTGAATGTAAGCTAATAACTTGTGAATTATTAATTAATGTTCCTTTTGTTATTGAAGATGGTTGAAATGAAATCGACTGCATACCGCCTAAAGAAATGAAGTGAATTTATAAAAAGAAAAAATTCTAAATAACAAGAAAAATTGAAGTATTGTAGACAAACAAATTACATAATAAACTGGTTGAATTAAGAAGGAACTTGAACGAGTTAGAATAAATTAAACTACTGTTTATACAAACAGAAAACTAGTTATGAAAATGATTGGTTTTCAGTAGGAAAAAAACTAAAAAAACTCAAAGAACTATTACATGAGCAATGATAGATAGTGGCTAGCAGTGGAATCCAGGACGCGTGTTTCGTCTTATTTAGGACTCATCAGCTGGATGTACAAAAGTTGATGTTGACTCTGAGACTCGAACCCACATATGCCAATAACAGACTGATCAATTACAGTCTTAAACCTCAATGAGAAGATACAAGCCAAACAATAGCAAGTGAACTTTTATATGGTTTGTAAATTTCTTAAGCTCATTTAGATATACTTGATGTTTGAGATCGAAAAAATATTTGTCCATGTTGCTAAAACAGAAACTATCATTACTCATGGTCAAGGATAATTTTCGAGTCTTCCTTACATGGTCTCAATATTGTTTATGTGCACTCCTGTTTAGGGATCCACGAAATACTGTTACATCCGAATGAAGAAGAAAAGAATGGTAATTGTTAGGGATTATTTATAGACTATTATTATATATATCCTTATTAGATAGTTATTTTGTAACTAGATTATATGTATTTTCGTATTCCACTTATCATAAACTTTAATTTGACCTATTGGCTACTGTTATACCATCCTTAATTTATTAGTTACAGTATCCAATACTCATAGCCACTTTTGTCTTGATCTTGTATAATTATTGCTTTTCATTTTGTAGTGTGATGCGATCTGGTCTGTTTGTATATAAACCAAATATGTCTGAAATAAGCAATCCACACGGCGGACGCTGAGATTGTGTTCTAGACTGAATGGGCTGGACTAGTCGGGAAGTTACTATTTTGAGGACCAATAAGACCTCAGAGTTGACACTATGCTGCTCGTGCTGGCTAACACATCATTGGTTTAGCACAAGGACAACGTCATATAAGTCGGTGTTATGATTAACAATCTTTTTACGTGATATTTGAAGGGCCATAAATTGTAACAAATACCGTCTGTGAACAACGATATGATGATTGTATTCAAACTTTGAAAAGCATTTATAAGCTCCCAAGTCATTGACAAAGACTGTGGTTTGAGATTTTAACGTATTTATTACTTTGTGCCGACATTTCTATATTTTACCAAAAATATAGTATTAAACAAAGCTAATAATAATGATAATGATGAATTATAGACTTTAAAGTAGATGTCCGTCTCTCAAGGAACACTTTTGAAATGTCCTCCTACATTGAAGTCTCCTAAATGCTGAAAACCTATTATAGTTGGGAAATAAAAACCACTCTACCTCGATAGTTTTCCTCTGATCATACCTGTTTTAAATAATTGTTCTGTCAGTTTCTACAATTCTACCTACATCCATCGACTTTGTTGTTTACATCATATGAAATTAAAGAAAATGAACTATTGATACAAAAAGGAAAAAAGACAACATTTTTAAAATAACCTACCTAGTAAAAGAAGTTCTTCTTCAGCATTTCCCTCGTCAACAAGATAATCAGTTAAACCTTGCAAAAAAGGATTTATTGTTTTGATATTATTTAATATATTTGCCGCCTTTATTAAGTCGTCACCAGGATCAATAAAATCACTTTGTTTTTCATCATCTGAAAGCATAGATACGTCACTAGAATTCTTACTATCTTGTAATGATGATGACTTATGTGTTTTCTGATGAGATGATTCTTTCAAATCTGAATCATTGTTTTGTTCTTCTATGTAAAACAAAAACAGTGTATGAAGTGAAGAAATAAATTTTAAAACGATAGTAAATATTTCACTTGATAATTTAAGCATTAAAAAAATGGATAATAATTAATTTACACTTGTACGTTTGCGTCGAAGGTGACGACTAGTATATTATTGGAAAGCCTACCATTAAACAAGTTTATTTCTGCATATATTTATATCAACATAATTATTTCGTACATCAGAACGATTTCGGAATTTCAGTGAATCGTTACACATGAAACACAGTAAAAAGAGAAATTCAAACTGTTAACTGAAGCCGACTCAAACTAAACATTCAATGTAGTTTGGATTACTCCACTAACTTCAGGATGATTTTAACACATCTGTTCAATGAAACGACTTACTAAAAGCAGTTTATTGATGGTATTTGAGATTTGCTTGCTTTTTTGAAACCGAAATGTTTCAGGATTGGTTTATATCGATGTCCAGTCTCATAATAAGGGGATAAATAGGTACGTTGATCACTTCACTTATCACTAAAATCTTATCACCACTGATGAAACCTAGACCACCTGTGTATCAATAGGTGAGTGTATGGTAGAGCAGTCTGTTCAGAATCACCTTACAGCTGTGAAACACTGCCTTTTGAGTTAGAAGAAATATTAGATAGACAAAGCAAAACACGGTATTAGTTCACAAAGTTATTAAGCATTGTGCTAAACAGTGCAGGGAAATACAGATTTCATATAACTGTTTTGTGTATTTAGAGACTTGCTCATAATTTGTGATAGTGGAGCATATTAATATTCACAGTTTATGTTCTTTTAAAAAAGCATGACTAAATATTTTTCTAGTAGTTTCTCTTAGTTTACATTTTAATTTTGTTGTAAACATAATTTTTGAACTTACCCATTTTTTATGCTAACTACTAACGTAAATTACAAAAATCTAGAGAAATGTATTTTTGCTAGATCATAAATTGTTCAAATTTGACTGTCAGAAATATAACGACTTTAGTCAATCATCTATAAAACCTAACATTACGATCAAGCAAATTTTAGTTTAGATTATATTTGTCATTAGGCAATTCAACAACTGCATCACACTAAACTACATTAAATCAATTTAAGTGAACAGATGCACGAGAACAGTGAGGAATACTAGTAAAATATGGTTCGAAATAGTAATGTGTATAATTAAATATCCTTAAGAATAAATGAATTCCGACATTATATTGAAAGCGAATAAACCAAGCAATTATTCTAAAATATGTACCCCAAAAGGTTTTTGACAAATGTATACTTATTTTTTCCATGAAAACTCGATGATATGTAAAATTAAGTTGTCTATCGGTATTTTCGGACAATTCCTTATTGCTTTAAACGTTTCTTAACAACCTCACTTTTGATTTAACTATCGAAGGTGGTATAAACAAAATGTTTTTACTTCATCACCATCGTCGTCATTATGAATATAGTGTTTCGTAAATTGTCAAACGTCCGTTGGGATGTTTTATGCGATGGCGATAAACGAGTTAGAATTATTATTTATAGCCTTCATATTATTGCAACTAAATTAGCGTGACCAATTACTACATAATAAAAGTGAATAAAAAATAGTATACAAGTGAATGAAAATCATTCCTTACCCATTGTCTCTTCATTTTCAAAAGATTGGTCTATATCCATTGACCGATCTTGATTACTTGAATGATTGATATCATTTTCACTTAAATTATTTTGAAGAGATAATTTATTAATCGTCAACGTCTCTTTGTAAATGTTCTCCTTTTGTTCACTAGTAGTAGTACCACCACCGTCTTCACCTTCTTCTTCACCATCGTCAACGATAGAGGAAACTTCTCCATGACGTCTCAAGTTACTATGTTCTCCTTTCCCCCCTTCTTTATCTGCTGACATATTGTTATCATTCTCTCTATCTGTTGTTGACCACAAACCTCTAGCCTTGTCAAAATCATAAATAATACGAGCTGCTATCACTAAATGACGACGTGCTAAAGCTTTTGAACGAATACGAGTTGGACATACGCTTAATAACTTATTGAACAAATGTCCAGTCTTTCGAGCGCGTTCTTCATGTGGTACTTTTAAATGATCCGAAATCGGTCGCGATAAACGTAGACACTCAATTAAATCACTTGAAGCTTCACGATCAACCGCATATTCAATTAATTTATTTTTTATAGCGATTAAATCTATACTAATCCACTTATTGTTAACATCATCCATATATTGTGAAGTAAACGATGCCCATCCCATGCGTTTCAGTAAAATTTTAGGCATAGGATTTTTCACCCTACCGAATATTTGATCATCTGTTATTGATGACATTGTATCCGGCATGATAACAGGATCTAAGATAGCTAAGCGTAAGAAATATGGACAAGTGGAAAGTACCTAGAAAATTTAAAACAGGATAGGACAATAAAATTGGTAAAAACAATCTGACGATTAGAAGAATGGTAATATCAAAACAAAGTTACTATATATAAGCCATACTAGATTCTAAAACTTATGTTAGGGTAGTCTAATTCCAAGTAATTTAAAGATCCCTTATAAAATAACCAGGAAAAAAAAACAAGGAATGTGATAGAGTGAAACAATCAAAAGTTGCTAGGTGAGATGGGAACGTTGTGCCAATCGGAAACCTCCCAATGACAAGAGCACGTTATTATCCGGATGGAAGATTCAGTAAACTTTGAGATCAACAGGCTGGATTCCGTAAGGATCGCGACACTACGGATCACCGTTGAACGACCAATTGAATGGAACTCGTCACTATACATCAACTTCATTGACTATGAGAAAGCACTCGACAGTGTGGATAGGAGAACCTTATGAAAACTTTTTCGACACTACGACTTACCTGAGGAAATCGTCAATATCACACGGAATCCATACAACGGACTACACTGCAAAGTCATGCATGGAGGACAGATGACAGACGCATCCCAAGTGAAAAACAGAGTCAGACAAGACTATTCACTCTCGCCCTTTCTTTACCTTCTGTTGGTTGACTGGATTATGAAGACCTCAACAACTCAGAGGAAGCACGGAATACAACGAACAGATCGGAATCAATTACAAGATTTGGACTTCGCGGATGACCTGGTCATTTTATTCTATACACACGAACATATGCAGATGAAGACAACAAGTATAACAGCAGTCTCTGCATCAGTAAGCCTCAAACATACACAAGGCAAAAAGCAAGATCCTCAAATACAACATAGAGAACACCAATCCAATCACACCTGATGAAGAAACTCTGGAAGATGTGGAAACTTTCACGTACCCGAACAGAATCATCGATAAACAAGGAAAATCCGATGTAGACGTTAATGCAAAGTTTGGCAAAGTAAGGGCGGCATTCTTATAGTTGAAGAACATATGGAACTCAGAACAACTGTCAACCAATATCAAAGTCAGGATCTTCAATACTCGAATCAAAAAAGTTCTATAGTACGGAGCTGCAACTTGGGGAACCGCTACATCTATCATCAAAAAAGTACAAGTATTTCTAGACAATTGTCTACACAAAATACTCAGTACCCGTCGGCCAGATACCATCAGCAACAACCTACAGTGGGAGAGAACAACTCAGCTTCCAGCTGAAGAGGAAATTAGAGGAAGGTGGTGGAGGTGGATAGGACATACATTACGGAAATCACCAAACCGCATCACGAGGCAAGTGCCGACTTGAAATCCTGGAGGAAAATGGAGAAGAAAAAGGCCAAAGAACACACTGAGTAGAGGACTGGAAGCAGATACGAAAAGGATGAATGGCAACTGGAAAGGAATATTCAGAACAGAGTTCGATGGAGAATGCTGATGGGTGGCCTGTACTCCTCCACAAGGAATAACAGGCGTAAGTTATGCATTCGACTTGGTTTAGATCGGCGAACTTTCTTCAGTCATCGTTTACTCACTTTGTAGTTTGCTGAGGCTAGCATAACGTAGGTTTTGTGTATCAGCATCAGACTCGGACACTACATATCATAACAAAATACTTAAGGGGACGATCGTCAGCACTAACTTTATCTTAAGAATTTACGGTTATCAAAACGTAAATATTTTGTTACAATATACAGTATAAGGTATACATATGCCTGTGGTGAACCAGACAATATAATAACACACAAAATAAGCTTGTCAGGCATATATCCACATGTCTAAAGAAAAAGTGGCACGAAAGAAACTTTTGGTTACTTAAGCGTTTCTATATATGTTCAACAATATGGACGTTTCAAATATTTCATACCCTTTTAATTTCAATCAATTTGCTGAGTTTTACCTAGAAATATTTTTCAAAACTGTAGTAACTGACGTTATGACTAGTTATTCAATGAACTTAAACAAAAATTCCAGAACACGTGGATTATACAAAAAGTAACTATTACTGGTAAACTTACAGATATTAAATCTCGCTTGAATATATTGAATGGAATATGTGGAAAAAATAGTAAAGTTGTATAATGAATGGGTCGACGAGTTTGTTCATTTGCGACAATTAATTCTTTCAATTGATCTTCATTTATTGGATCTGCTGATTTCTCTACTGTTAGATTATCGAAATCCATAGATTTTTCGCCATCATTAGTAATACTATTATTATGAGTATCATCACTAATAACAACACCACCAGCAACATAAGGTGGATCTGTCAACCCTGATAGTACATAAACTTCATTTGATTGATTTGACCCTGTCGTATTAAGTGATTTCGTAGAAGACATCGTGTTGATTTCATCAGGCACTACTTTTGAACAATCATTTCTATTCTGTTGGTCGTTATGATCATTGTTATATAAATGGTTAGTTGAACTGGAATTGACTTTGTTGTGCACATTATCGTGAGTGTTATTATTATCATCATGATGACGGTGATGACGCCGACGATGACGGTCACCACTATGACCAGAATTGTCTTGGACATTCTTATATTTAACAAGTTTAGAATGATTCTTCTTGTGTTTTACAGCCGTCTCACCATCACTGCTATCACTGCTATTGCTTTTAGATATGCTAACTTTCCTTTGGTGTTTCTTATTATTATCATCATCAGTACTACTACTACTGTTGCTGCTATTACTGCTACCATTATCGTCGTCACTACTATCGCTACTACTGCTACTACCACTAGTACTATTATTATTACTTGAACTGGAATCTCTACTATGACTGTTTACGCTATCACTTCCACTATCATTACTTTCATCATCACTTAAACTACTGTCTTCGCCCTCCTCCTCTTCATCTGCATTATTTTGACGTTTTTTAATTCTGATCTCTTTACGCTTCTGGACTTTTGAAGAATCGCAATAATCTGGTTTAGGGTTCTACGAAGAAATGTAAAAATATAAAAATATGCATAATTAAAAACCTGTTAAGAGTACGTTTTAATATACCATAATGAGGTATATTCGATTAAAATTTAAGATACTACAATATTGTGGAGGATAGTGTTCGTAGATTTGATCTATTTTCCTAAAATATTGGAAGTGCCTCAGACTGACAAATCTCAATGAAGGCCTAATTATTGGCGTAGGCACCACAAATGAGTTTATTCATAATGAAAACCGGGTAGGACAGCAAAATATTGAACATTATGTGTAGTTACATCCACATATACATAATACAGGACGAAAATAAACACCACTGGAATTTGCAAACACCATAACACTTTAGTGTCTAAACGTATCCGAAGGTTACAGAACATACTTGAAGGCTAACACTTGAAATATCAGTCAAAATTCTGTCCTCTATAACATAAAGCCATGCTAGTAAAAAAATTTCCGATTTTCAGAGTTTATCAGTGAACTGGTGAGTAGTTGGCGCCAGGTTACATACCTGCATCAAAATGAACCCTACCTCACCTATTTTGGTTTGCAAAACAGAGTAGTATAACTGACCCTCATATTTTCGACGCCCCTTAAGGCTAAGTATATGAACACTCGCTTGATTAGCGTTAGACTACATTGTAGGTATCATTATCAAGGTTTAACTCGATAATTTCGAATAAACTGAGCATTGGGTAGATTGTTATAAATAAATAATATATTTTTAACATCTCAACGAGTAGAAAAATCAGATTTTCTGACGTTTCGTGATTTACTGTAAGCCACGTCTTCAGAGAATAAATAACCAAACTAAAATTACTCCAAGATTAAATAGTACAACGGAACAACATGAATATTCGACATTATTACAGAGGACATAAGCAATTCAATTTCACTGTAATACTGTTGTTAGGTTTGAAAGAAAGAACAGCAAAATATCCAGATAAATTTTTGTTTCTGTACAGTTCCCTAAGTAGAAAACCACTGGGTACGTATCAAAAGCCTAAATACTTACGTATAATATGGTATTAAACACAAAAATCAATTCATAAGTCTTCTTGCTTATTTCATGCTCAGTAAAGTATAAAGCAACACTGTTAAACAAACACGAAAAATATGATAACTATTAATAAATGACAAAAACTCTTTTAAAATAAGCTTATTGAATAAAAAGAAATAACTCAGTGTTAATCATCAATATACCAAACATTATCACCTGACGTTAAAAATATTGTACGAGTTTTGAACTGTTATGTTTATCCGAACTACACTTGTAAAAACGAAACCCAATAACCCTGCGTACTGCGGCTAGTTCGTATTGGTAAACACCGACAAACAGAGTTTTATGGTTGTCTTTAATTAATCTCTAGTTATAAATATTAAAATTCGCAGCATTAAGCCTAACTTAAAACAAATAATACTTACTTTTTTCGTAGTGTTCGCATCAAATTTCTCCTTGTCAAATGATCCTTCTCGAATATCTGATGACTGAACTATATTGTCGTTTGGTTTAAGATTTTCTGTATGTTGAAAAGTCGATGGCTCAATGATCACGTTGGGATTTTCAGAAATTCTATCTTCGAGTAGTTTGTCCAAAAGAATAAAGTCCTCTTCCGTCCCACCGGCCAGTTTAATCGCAACTACATATTAAATATGAACAGTTATAGAAAAATGAACTAAGAGAAAAAAACATTTTGATTAACGTTACGAGTATATGAGGAACCAATAAGCGCTAATAGTCTAACAACTAGTATGTTCTAAAACTAACATTCTAGAGCGATTTTAACCCACTTTATTCTGAGCATATATATACGCAGACGACTGGTTAACGGATTTGAGGTGGCATATAAAAATTTTTTCCAGTCCGTTTTTAGATATGACCTCAGTTTACACACAATAAACCATGTACACAAAAGAATGTTTAGAACAGGGTGGGTATGTTAATTTTGGATAGGAAACTTCTACTTGAAAACATCTATATCACACCACCTACCCATATCTAACAGCCGGACAATTTCACTTTCATAACCACTGGTTAGATGTAGGTTGTCAAAATAACCATTTCTATAAAACTCCATAAAAATTTCTAAACGTCTTTGGAACAACTTCATGCTGGACGATGACTCTGTGAGGTAATCTGGATGATATTTCTCGCGGAACCTACATGGAATAAATTTAAACAATTATATTAAAGTGAAGTGTAAGAGGAACATGAATAGTGGTGTAATAACGTAATATATTTTTGGGTAAGAATGGTGAGATGCATTTACTTTCCATATTCCTAGAAGTGAAATCACAGAAAATCTCGTTAGCTCACAAAAGTCTCAGACTTCAGCAAACAAGTTGAATATTCTAATCTTAAAGTAGCCATAAGGAGCGAAGCAACTTGATTCCGAAAAGTAAGATGGACTAATAATTCACATCATGAATGGCTGGTTTATAATAAATGCCACTAATGAAATTTAATCAAACGTATTTTGACATTACGGAGAATGTAATGCAAAAAGTATTTCAATAGTATCGCAAATCCAGTGAAGATGACTGTTGCGAAGGCAATTAAAGTGTCAGTTACCATTTACTTGTCACTAGTAGCAACTTATATGGTCCTTAAAACATCCTGATAGCCTATTGTTTATTTCACGTGGGTTGTATGAGGAGTGATTCGGGCAATTTAGTGAAACGTTCATAGTTTACGAGTTGTCAGATAGTAACCAGTGTTAGTTTGGCACGATTAGGATAGAATTGTCAATTTAGAAGCCGGAAAATACTAGCAGGCTATCGCAGCGTAATAATCTACCATGACAAACCTTTTTGTATTAAATTAAAAGTAGAATATCTGGTTTCACTACATGGTGGATTCAAGTCCGAAATTTACTACCTAGATGGGGTTTTGATTATTGTTGAATGTCGAATTCCGGTCTAAATTGCAATATCAGAAAGAAAATGGCTCTGTACATGAAGATAATAAAGAATTTGTGGAGCAACATAAATAAGAACACATACCAAGCATAGGATTTGTTCCTTTCGAAAAACTCTTCCAACTGTTGGCGAGCAAAACTTGCTTTATAAGCTGCATATTTCTCACCAGCCTCATTATTTGTTAAACTGCTGTGGTCGAAAGGCTCGAGAAACTTCCTAATGGACATGGGCCGTTGGGCGAAGTCGCCCTTACGAAGAGAATATCCATGATTTCGAACAGTGTTTTTCACAGAATCCGGTGTATTAGTTTGATCCACATCTTTTTCAGCACTCATCTTGCACAAACCCACCAAATTCTATCAAAAAAGAGAAGTTTACTGTGTTAAAACATACTTAATGGGGAATTGTCATCACAAGATATTGGTTAGTCATGGTCTCGCAAATCATAAGTGTTCACTAGATTCTACAAGTATATGCACACGATGATATCTTGCTTAGTAACTACAATATAAACACCCTAAAGTGACTATTCTACAGACTGCTAGGCATTTGTGGGTTATATCTATATTAGAGCCACGACCAGCAAATAAACACACTGACCTTGATAAGGCAAATCTGCCACCACAAAACAATTTAATATCCAGTAAATAAGAGACGACCTTGTAGTTGATTTCTTTCCGTTCGCACCTTGACGCTATGGTACGATTCTAAGTTTTTGTTAGCTCACAACGATAGTAATTTAGCCATTCTATCTCACTAGTCCTTATGAATTAAACTTTTATTTGAGTGTTGATAGTCCATATCATAATCATGAGCATCTATGAACACATTGGTTTCTTTGTATTAGTTTCTTGTTGTTTCTGCACGGTTCCAGATACCTGATGATATTCAAGTGGTGAAGCTCCATCTATTCAAGTACACTAATTCTAGTCACTTTGGTAGTTATTTTTATATTCGTATATTTTTATGTTGGAGTAAGCGTTTCTCTCAGTGCATGAGGGCTACTGGATACCAACAGTTTTCACATTAGCAGACAAACGGTTGGTTGGTTGCAGTGTGACGATAAAAAATTTATAAGAGAATACAATTGTTTTAAGAATGACAATAAGTTCATTAATTGGTAATGTGTTAGAAGACGGAATTGAAAGAATAAGAAGAGAAATGGAAATGATAAGAAAGATATGAAGTAGTTACTAATATGTGCTAACCGCAACCTCGGTAATTTATGAGACATGCACCAGACACAACATGTTCAGAAGATAGATGGCAATTCATATGTGAGTATGTGCTTTTCAAGTCTCCTCTTAAAGCTAACCTTTGATGGGGCCGTCATCAGTTCAGCTGGGATAGGCATCTGAAAAGGGACAAATATTTACGAAAAAAAGTGGGAGCATACCTGGTTGCTTGCTCTTGGATGTGCAATTTTTGGAGGGTTGTTTCACATAGTATGGTGGTGATATTCTGGTAACACGCTCTTGTTCGTGTAGCTTTGCGTATCCAATACGTTGTGTGCCATTGTCAGGTCACCTCATATTTACATGTAGCCTAACGAGAATAATGCCAGGTGATGTAGTCTGTCCTCGTAAGGTTTATATTTAAACCATGTCACCCACTTAGTCCCCCATCTCTGTACTTGGCCTAAGAGATTTACGTCTACTATAAAAGGAAGGGGTGCAACAACATAGTATGCTTCAGAGTAGGGCCGTGCGTATGGTTTAAATAGCAGTATGAACAGCTCTGTAGCGGTTACGCCAAGTTTTCAACGCATAAACTGAAACGTTGTGTTTGCATTGAACGCACCTCCTATGTATTTGAAGCTTATATCTAAGCTCTTCGTGGCTATAAGCTCAAGATGACGTTCCGAAGAAGCAGTTGGGAGTGGATGTCCACGAAGGGTGTAAGTGCTCTGTGTCGAATTTGGTAGAATGTTTATGACATGAAATTTCACCAGGCTGGATTTCACTCTATTGTCAACTGACTATTTCTCCATTTTTGAGAGTCACTTTTAAACCTCAACTGAATCCTTTTCGCTTTTTATGGAACTGTAGATCTTTGAGTCGTCTCCATAGGTCAGTATTGATTAATTAATTTTATCTAACAGGTCCTTAATAAAAATTAAGAACAGGGTTAGATCTAAATTTGATTCCTGTGAGATTCCTCATATCGAAACCTTCCAACTCGCGTGCACACTTTTTAACTTGGTTCAAAACTTCACGTTCCGTAGATGGTGAGGAAAGTATTCCGTCATTGGTTCGCTCTTCCTCAGGACTATAGCAAGGACTTTGTCATATTCTGGCTTTTACAGGGCTCAAGAATCTCGGTCTCTTTAACAATAACCAGGAAGTTATCGCCATATCGTCAAGTCGCTCAACTGGCAATAGATCTTCACCATCTTTAAGTTAATAAGATTTTTACCATTTGTTCTTTTCAGAGTGAAGGTCCCCGATTTGTAAGCCTTCTCTTAATCTCTAATCTGTAGAGATATTTTGGGTCAGCTCGCATTTGTGCTGCCAGCTTGGCCTGAAAGCATTAACTATTGCTATCGACTTTGATACTGCATCTTCTTTATGTCGTGTGAGAAAAGCTGCAGTCGAAATCCTTCAAGAAGACCTTAAGACAGTGCCAGGCTCTCCGTTTAGCATATGGCGAGCATTCCGGCCCTGCTTAAAACAGGGTCGACTCTTCCCAGGTGTATGCTTAGCCTGTGCTGAATAGCATCCCGAAGGATATGTAGAATGATGATCTAGTTCGATATTAGTACACGAATTTTTGTTACCATAATCATAGATCTAATCCCAAAATTTTAAATTTATCATGATGGGATGAATAAATCTATAAGACTTTATGTGAAAGACACATCACTGTCTACACTGACTCATCGTATCATGACAATCAGCAATACGATGTTTAGCACATGGGCGGACCGTGCCATTTTCATTAATTCCTCTTGTTATGACCTGTGAATCGAATGCTACCTTTTGCATCTGGTCGTCGCTGATTGCTATGTCGGAATCGCTGATCACTTATACTTGGAACAAAGGGACCTCCACAACTCCCACGACGCAAAAGTAAGAACACAAGACTGGTATAATTGAAGTTTTATTAGCCAAAACACTATGATGACGACGACGATCTTAGTCGAAAATACACTCATTTATATATTGGTTGTACACCCATTTTGATCAATAATTAGAATGAAATCACAGATATGAAAAATACTCAATTATCACAAGTCACATATAGAGCATAGTTCATGTCAACTGAATACAAGAATATCGTATATTATACAGAATAAAATATCATACGAGAAAAGAAAAGAAATTCTACATTGAGTAATCATTACATTGAATCAAAACAGAAGTAATGTTGAATAAAACTCGTAATGAGTAAATCAATCGAAAATTGACTATTTTTCCATCATGTCATCTCTAATACTCACTACTGTCGGCCTGTTTTTAGCGTTACAGGTTGAATGTAAATCTGTAGAATTATGGTCTACTTCATTGTTATTTGTGTGTTTTTTCTACTCAGTGGTGAGCACCATGGGTAATTTGGGATGCCCTTTTCTCTGATGTTTATCTGATCAGTAATCTTACTTAGAGTAGGAGTCTGGATAGGGGTGTGATCCAGATTACTCAGTTGGAGATTCATTCTGGGCGATTGAGTCGAGCGATCCAAGTTGTGCAGATTACTCCAAAGTTCTTTGTCTGGTGTCGTCATGAAGTTACTCGCAATCCTGTCTCATAGTAAATGTACTGGTGATACTGCTTTTACTGTACATGCTACTCAATAGACTAAAAAGTAAAATGTGAGACTATTGAAGAGAGAGTCTCGGTAGGAAGAAACAGTAGAGTTGAGTGACTACATACTGCACAAAAATAAAGCCTGAAATACTTGAAACTGCAAAATTGCCTTTCAACATCCTAACAGGCAACTACACGTGTATCCAGCAACTTGTCCATATGTCCTTCGTGCGAGAGACGAATAATACATAGCTATAGGAAGTAGTCGAATTCAGCTCTAACGATTTTAAGCCTATCAGTTGCTAGTCTTCCGGTTTTAACAAACATGGGTGCGCCTTCAGTTTTAATTGTGTGACTTACCTTTAGTTTATTTTGGGAAGGTTAAGAACTAGGTTTGGTTAAATATGGAAATTCCGCGAGTATATTCTGGAATTTCACCGTCGCTTCTGGCGGATTTTGTATCAAGTTTAGAGATGTGATTTGACTTTCTTTGCCTTTTGAGTAATTCGAATTTTCTTTCAGTTTTTAGCGTGGTTTTTTTAGTATCGACTAGAAACTCGTATCTCTTTATAAGGTCAATTCCCAAGATCGCTAGGTCCAAACCAGCCACAATGAAAACCCAGGAGAATCGCCTTCTAAACCTCAAGTCTGGCGTCAAATGCTTCCGCCCAAGCACGGTGATATTATTTTTGTCGACAACTTGAAGTGTAACTGAGGAAGTTTCTCAACCCGGCTCAGTTTTGTTCTGAAGAATGTTACCAAGAGCAGCGTCAGTATTCACCATAAAGTCCAAGCCCGAATTTGTGTCCCTAAAGTAAAAACAAGACATCGTTTAGTTACCTCATTTCAGTCGTTGAGACTTGAGAAGGGGTTATTTGTTTCCAATATTCTTGATAATCTGTTAAGGACAGGCGCATGGTTGATTGCACTTGTCCGATTTAGCACCAAACTTCCAGCGGTACCGACAGAACTGTCCGGATTGTCTGGACGTTAAAGACCTGTTGCGTGAGCTGGACCTTGGTCGTTGTGGTGACCGGCTCCTGTTTCTGTGATCCGTCTGCATTTTGTTGACAGGCCATGTGACACATTTAACACTCTCGTTGAGTTTTGCTATGACTGGATCCTCTGATGGTCCTTCTTTTTGTGGAGGGGGAACCTCCTTCTGTTATTCTATCTGCAACGTGCACTAAGTGAGATGAAGGGGTGTCTGGGTCTCATGAATCTTAACAGTGTTGGACGTAGTATGGGAGAGCCTGTATCCATCCTCATTCTACGGTTGTTTCACCCACTATGTTGTCGCCCACTAAAACTTGGAGATGGCGTAAAAACTGTGATGGTGGTCTATTAACAAATATTTCTCATTGGAAAAGCCTGTGGATTCTTTGAATCTCTGATAAAGATAGACGGTCCATTATCTTTCGTCTTAAAACGGTAAGTCATTGCGCTGTTAAACTTAAATTTAAGTCAGACATGTTTGGCGACTACAGGATGGAGGACAGAGCCTAAATGTTGATAGTAAACTCAATTAAATTTAACACTGTGACACGTAAAATAACGCTCTGGTTGGCCGAACCACAACTCGAAGTCACTACGATCAAGTTTTAAGAGTCAGAATTTCGTAGTCATACTAGTGTTTATTTCTACTGGTGGCATGTCGTATTTGTCCCTCAGGCTTCGAATTTGGATTGAGTGTGACATGTGATATATGACCAATACAGTAATATGATAAAAACAGGAAAAGCAACAACCACAGCACAAATACTTTGAGATAAGGAACAATATATATATATATATATATATATATATATATACAAAATTTATGTTAAAGATAATTGAGGGTCTACTTTTGCAATTAAGTAGAAGGATAATAATGAGCAGGACA